TAGATAGATAGATAGATAGAAAGGGAGAAAGGGAGAAAGAGGGTCAAAGCTGCTGTGGTGAGTCAACACCTCAGCTGTTGTTGCACATGACTTCACGGTTAACTTCTTGGCTGAACCCGGGCAGCTTCTTCTGCCAGCCAGCCCCAAACACCATCCTGAGGCTATGGTTACACACACTGACGTCCGCAGAGGGGGTCCCAAAACCCACCCAGCCTGCTGGCCAAGGAGGGTCCAGCTGTCACCCCCCCCCAATGATGTCAAAGCAACGCCAGAATGACGTTGGAATAACCAAATCGACTGAGTCCCTTTATGTGTGGGAAAGCACACACATCTTGCACCTAAGTCCTGTGTGAAAACGATTTTGCAGTGGTGTTAATTTAGTGAGGCCAGCCAAAACCCTTCAGGGGTCTTGTTTGGTTGTTAACTGGAGGTTTTATACTTTAGTTTAAGTCAAATTCAGGCACACACATGAACATACACGATGGAGACTTACTAGAAGGTGCAGCGCAGGCAGGGATGGAAACTAGTGGAGGCCCCCAGCCCTTCATGTTGTAGGCTGACACCTGGACATAGTAATAGGTCCCCTGTAAAGACAGGACACGGTTAAGGCAAAGGTTTGTCACACACACAGTTACAACCTAAAGAACACTATCTCCCAGTATTTGTTTGCGTAAAAGCATATACATATGTATGCGTGAGGTTCAGTGCATCTGTTTGTCTCTTGCTAGGTCTCTGTCTGTCTTCATTTCTATATGTGTGTGTGTTGAGGGTGAAGGGTCTATCTAGAAGCTCTGTCTGTCTCTTTGCCCAGAGTGCAGACAGCAGGCCTCTGTCTCTCCTTTCTCAGCCAGATCAATCAAACCAGCCGCCGACACTTCCTGACCTCGACTTGACCCCTGTCATGTGACAGGAGTGAGCTTTGGCTGGCAGCAGGGGTCTTAAACAGGAGGGGGGGGGGTTTCTCTCACACAATAACAAACAACCGGTGAAGCGTCCATTTGTCTACATGCCTGCTTAAAAATGCTAAACATAAATCAGGTGGCAGGCTACCAAGCTGCTCTTTATTATCATTTTTGAGGCTGTTTTACAACTGTTGCTTATGAAGGGTCAACAGCCAAGACTGTCAACAAATAACAAATAAACTGTGTTTTCCAATTGTGTTTTCAGCAGGGCCATAACCCCCCCCCCCCCCTTTTTT